TTCCACCGGCTGCCGGTCCTTCTCCCAACTCACGTGCGGCGTGGGATTGCCCATGATCTGGCAGCTCAGCGTGGCGTCCTTGCCCACGGACACCACGAAAGCCTTGGGCCGCGCGAGGAAGCGGGGCGCGCCGCTGAAGGAGGGGGGGTCCATGCCAGGAGCTGCGGGGAGCGGGTAGGAGATGTCACAGCTATATGGGGGACCTGCGTCCAGGCGCTCCGAGTGTGCGTAACGTAGGGCAGTCCACACGCTCCCTCCCAGGTGGCACCATCGCCTGCAACACGGATCTGCCCTCCCCTGGTCTTAGGATCAGACTCCTGACAGGGATGGGCCCTCCCCTCCAGCATCCCTAGGAGTGTCCTGTCTCCTTCACTCTGCCACTAGGGGTCCACAATTCCAGCTTGGCCTTGTGTCCCTCCAAGAGGGAGGCTTGCTCATTCCAGCTGGGTCTAGGTTCTGGAGACCCACTGTAGTCACCAGCCTCTCTTGTCTTGTACATGGAGGGCTGCAGCACCCTACCCCAGCGTGTCTGCCCCAAGCCTTTTCCTGGGCCCCCACCCCAGACCTGCCCTGCCCACAGGGTCGGTCTGTTCCCTTTGATCCCACACTTCCCTTGACCCCCCACCAAGTGAATCAAGTTCTCTTGACAACACAAACATCCCCTCTCCTGTCCTCACTCTTTGACAGCCTGACCCTCCTGTAGGAGGAGGAGGATGGGCCGCCCAGACTGGGTGGTCAGATCCTGCTCGCTGCACAGGACATGGTGGAGTGAGAGACTCAAGTCTTCCCATGCAGAGAGGATGGTGGTCTCAAGGCTGAGGGAGAGCTGTACCTGCCTGCACTGGGTCTACAGAAGGGTGGTGGCACCAGGTGCTCTCCATGCTCCCAGGCTCGGGGCCTCGTGCCCACTATGGGGCTGTCTGGCACTTGCTTCCATGGTTCAGGTACCTAATCCTTTAATCCCTTTCAGGAGGCAGGGCTGAACCAGGGATGGGCTGCTTGCTGACTCACTGTGCAGTCAACAGCTCTGTGCCCCAGCTACACAGGCCAGAGACCCCACGTGTCAAGGACCAAGAGGGGTCTGTTCCCTGCTGGGCGTCTCGCAGGGATGCCTCTGCTCAGTCATCTGGGGCCCTAAGCTGGGGTCTTTTGAGTGCTTAGCACAACTAGGCCAGTCTGAGGGGTCCCCAAAAGCAGAGCCTGAGCTGGCCTGGTGACAGACAAGACAACACATGTGGTGGCCCTCACCGTGCTCGGGCTGACTCCAGGACGGTGCACTCCACTCTGCTGCTCAAGGCCGCGTTCCCCCCTCCCAGACATGTCACCAGATGGTGGCAGATCCCATTGGCTGAGGGCTCATCCTCGGAGCTTCCCAGCTGCCCTACCACTCTAGAGGGCCAAAGGGCTGCTGTGTGTGCACTCCAGGCCTGGGGGCCACCCCATCAGGCACCCCATGTTTTAGACAAGGACACTGAGGCCACCCAGAGCCTCCAGGAAGCCTGCCATGGACATCAGCCTTGTCCTCTGCTTCCCTTGTGGGCTGGAGTCCACTGGGTGTGATCCCCAAGAACAATTCAGGAGCCTCATCAGAGACCCAGCCTACCAGGAAAGCCCTGCGCCCCTCAGTGCCTACCTGGGGAGCTGCTTCTCTCACATGGCTATGTACTCAGGACCCTCAGCCCATAGAGCCTTTCCAGCCTGGCAGCCCCTGCACCCCAACTTCCACAGAGCCACCCAACACTGCTGGACCCACAAGCAGCCCTGCTGTTTGTCAGGAAGATCCTGGAGTGGGGGACTAGAACCCCACCACAAAACCCTGTGCCCTCCCAGGATGTCTGTGCCTCACCTTGGACCCCTAGCTGTCAGCGTTCCCACTTGGGAAATTCTTTCCTGGAGTCAGGTGTCACTACCCCTCTGGCTGTCCCCTCTGCTGAGCCATGGGCCCAAAATAGCCCCAGCTGTCAGCAGGCATCTATCTCAGCAGTGCTGGGGGCAGGGCCACCGGACCCCCAAGCAGCCCCAGCCAAGGAAAGACCATGGACAGGCAGCCCCTTCCCGCCTGCTAGGACTGAGGGGCAGGGCTGGAATCCAGCCCCTCTTCCTCTCAAAGTGGGGCACAGGTGGACCCCAGAGCTCCTGCAGAGCCATGATCTTCAGCCCCAACCTGAGCCCTGTGGACTCCCATGTCCTTCCCCTCCTCACCTTCTCCACGGGGGCTCAACGAGGACCTGGGTGGCAGGGGGTGGCAGGGGCAGCTGGGTCTGCTCTCCTTCCTAAGCCCAGGAGCACCACGGTTCCCACCCAGCAGCCCACACTGGCAGCTCCTCAGACTGCTCGGGGACAAAAGGACAGGCAGTGCTGTCAGCTGGAGAGGGCTGGACCCGCCCATGCCAACCCACCTCCTGGCCCAACCCAGATCCAAAATAGCCCAAGTGTCAGCTTCTGGGATTCTGTTTCACCCAAGCCCCAGGGAGGCAAAGGGCAGAGGGGTTGGGACACAATCCATGTCTCCCAGCAGCAGCATGAGCTGGGGGTGGGCACAGCCAGAGAGGGGCCCAGCCTGACTGGACTCTTATCACATCCTACAGCCCAGGCGAAGGAGCCTGGGGTATCCAGGGCAACTTGTAGCAAGCCTAGAACGACTGTGACAGGGCCCTGGGCCGCCCCAAGGGGACCAAGACCACTCAGGATTGCTCAGTCTGGGCCTGGCTGCACAGGTTCCCCAGCCAGCCCTAGGACTCAGCCTAGCCCAGGAGCTGGATCCTGCAAGGGCCCAGCCTGCCCAGGGTGGGGCATGGAAGGGTAGATGTGAGCAGCACACAGCCTACCCGCAGCAGCACCCCAGCCCTGAATCACCAGCCCAGGGGTAGATGGGCACTGGACACTGCACATGTACATGGGAGGTTGCCTCAGCAGCCAGGCAGCCACCAGGAGCCAAAGGGGCTGCCTGCAGGGTGTCCTAGGGGGCCCTCTCCCTGCAGGACCAGGCCTGACAGTGGGCCCCATCTAGGGAGTTACTACAGGGGAGAAAACTGAGCCAGGATCCCAAGCTGCAGGGAGGGTAGAGAGAGGGTGAGCCTAGATACTCCAGGGTCCCCACCCTGAACCAGCACTGTGGCTGTGTCCTCTATGGTGACTTCCTCCAGGTTGCACATAACCCACACCACTGACCTCACATGGCAGAAGGGGTAAGAATGTTCTAGGGTCCCTTAGAATGGCACAGTCTCTATGTGTGAGGCCCCACCATCTAACATCACACCTGGAGGATGTTTCAGCATGGACTTGGGAGAACTCCAAGGAGGAAGAAAAGATCAGGAAGATGCCACCCCTAAAAGCAAGACAGGGGCCACTGCAGGAGCATGCGGGGGGCAGGGGGAGTGAGCATGCACACATTTGCACATGTGAACAGCATGTGTGGCTGTGTGTGTATGTAGCTATGGGTGCGTAGGAGAATACCTACATGTTCATATACAGTTATCTGCAGCTTCCTGCATGTGTTTGTGCATGTGTATGAATGTGCACATGTATGAATGGCATGTGTGTTCATATGTGAGTGCCTGCACATGTGTATGCATAGCTATGGGCACATCCCACATGGGTGGGAGCACCCCACCCCTCTGGGGCCAGGGCCACAGTGGGCAGAGGGGTACATGCTTGTGGCTGCCCACAGATCCATGGGACGAAGTGAGCTCCTCTTAGCCCACCTCAGCCCCTGGACTCCTGCCCAACCCCAGGGCAGCTGCCTCCGGGACCCACAGCACCCACACCTCTTCCTGCTCCCTTCACCCCCAGACCTCCAACTTATGAGCCTCTAGGATGCCTCCCTGTATTTCCTGTACCCTGGTGATGGGTTTCTTTTCCTTTGCTATTCTTTTAACTGATAAATACATCGTCATTATATATACTCACAGACTTCCATGTGAGGTTGCCATGTATTTGTTGAAGAAAGGGCGTCACAGAGAGCCCCAAAGGCTGCACTTGCTCAGGACTCCAGTCATTTTCACACCACAGGGGCCACAGGACTCAGTGCCTACTGGTGTCCTACTGTGATGATGCTGGGATCCCACACAGAATGACAGGCAGCATTTCAAGAGGCCACAGAGCAAAGGGACAACTAGAAAGGGCAAAGGTCGGATCTGCACTTTCAGAGCACAGTTCTCATGGGCAGCTGGAAGGGACTGTGACAAGGTGCATTTTCACTCCCTTTGAAATCTGTGTGGGATGAAGGGGCCCTGGGCCCAGGGCTGCAGAAAGGGGTCCATGCCCACAAACCATTAAGGAACATGCCAAGATACTGAGAGTTGTGTCCTGACCTGCCACGAGGATCATAGGCCCAAGGACAGGCAGGGCAGATACAGTGGCCAGGACGTGGGCAGACCTGGAAAGAACCCTGGTGAGAGACGGGTAGGAATATGGAGAACAGAGCTCCCTGTAACCTGTGGACACCCAAACACAGGAGCAAGTGTGCAGTCTGTGCAGAGATCACCACTCCTCCCCCTTGAGGCCCAGCCTCTTCTGGCCTCACTCTGAAGTTCCTCTTTGGTTCCCTTTTCTGGATTCTTGTTTTTATGCATTCAGTCCCTGCATTGTTTCCAAACTCATACCACCTCGACTTTGAAACATTTGATTTTCCCCTTTCTTATCTTGCAGTGACATTGTCTTGTCTTCTGGTCCTCCTGCCCTCTTTCCGTGTGTCACCTGTCTCTCTGTAGTTATGTGGGGATGACCACAGCAGAGTATGTATGCGGCTTTGCAGCCATGAAACCATACGCATGCACCCTCTGCTAGCCTCCCCCATTTCCAACCTCTTTTAGCTCTAGTACCCTGCATTCCGCTCTCCTCTACATACGTGTTCAGTGGTTTTGATGACGTGTGAGGGCGAGTATGCAGCGTCTTGCCCTGCTTGTCATTTCACTGAGCACCGTGTCCTTCAGCTCCTCCACAATCTTAACCACAGAGCTCCATCCCGCAGGGGTGGAAAGGTTTTCTGTGTGCAGGTGGGCCTCGTGACCATGGGTTCTTACCTGTAGGTGTAATCAGGTCAAAAATATTCACAATATGCTGCACCTGAACATGTGCAAACCTTTTCTTTGCTTCATTCCCTAAGATACAGCTGGACAACTCTATGCACCATTTGCATTTTCAGTCAGTAACCTAGAGCTGATGTAAAGTATGTGGCAGGGCTTGTGTAGGTTCTATGCAAATACCAGGTCATTTCTGTAAGGAACCTGACCACCCTGATGTGGGCACCAACAGCAGGCCCTGGAACTGCATTACTGATCCATTCATCTGTTGATGGACGCCAGGTTGCTCCCGTCTCTTGGCTGATGAGAACATGGAGTATGGACATCTGCTCGGCACATGATTCACTTCCTTTTGTAGACCCCCAGCAGCAGGGCTTCTGTATCCTACCATAAGTTTGCTTTCAGTTCTTTGAGAACTGAGGAAGTATTGATCAAAGGACACAAACTTTAATTATAAAGTGAATAATTCTGGGATTCCAGTGCGTGCCACTAGACCTGTGGTTACCAACACGGCAGACAGCACTTTCACTGTTCCCACCAGGCTCTGAGATGAGAAAATTGCATTCATCAGCCTGGCTGCTGACCCCTGAAAATGTGTGAGCATCAGGTGAATGCCTTGCACACCTTCCAGATGTACAGTCTTTTATCCATCAATTACACCTCAACAGATTGGCAGAGGACTAAAACAAAGCAACTTTTCAGGGAGAAAACCCCAATTCATCCCCCATGGCCTATGAAAGACATCACACACAGCCCGTTCTGAACACACCAGATGTGCCCAGCACCCCAAGAACTGCACAGAAGCTCCATCCTTGAAGAACCACAGTCTCACATCCTTCTGGGTCTGTGAGGGAAAC